ATTTTGTACAACCGTCGATTACTTTGACTTTCATGATCGCCTGCCTTTCATGGAAGCAGGTAATATAAACTTGTGCTATCCATCCATCCATCATCTTTTATCCACTTCTTTCTTTTCGGGTCACGGGGGTCACTTGTGTCCATATCCAGCAGTCACTGTGCGAGAGGCGGGGGACACCTGGACAGGTCTCCAGTCCATCACAGGGACACATAGAGACAAACAACCATTCACTCTCTCACTCACACCTTAGAGTTATCAGACTAACATGCATGTTTTTCATCTGTGGGAGGAAATCCAGAGTACCCGGAGAAAACACGCATGCACGGAGAGAACATGCAAACTCAACCCAGAAAGGCCCCCAGCCAGGATTTGAACCGGTGACCTTCTCGCTGAGAGGCGGCAGCTCTACCATCTGAGCCACCGTGCTTAAGAAAAAACCTCAGGAAGCTCCGCCTACTTGGAGTCTTTTCTGCATAATTAGTGTCATCCTGTAAAGGGAAATAATGCACATATTGCATAAAACCAGACCAGAAAACTTTTATTTTTAGTCTGAGCGGCAGAGAGTCTGATGGTCCCCATGTGGCTCCAGAACCGCAGATTAATCAGAACCATCCAGAACGAGGGCCCAGTTTGATGCGAGCGTTCTGATTGTTGTGTCTCCCTCATGACTGAAGCAGAAAGCATCTTTATTTATTCATGCTCCTATTTTCCTCTTCGTCCCGGCTCGTCCGGACTGAGAGGATGCAGCTCCACTTCCTGCTCCAAGATGGCGTTTAGTTTTTTTAAAGTGGGTCGATGACATCATCAGCTCGTTATCCTGCGTCTGCGCCAAATTTACTAATTAGAGACGGAGGCTCCCTGAGGCTGCGTGTGTGTTTACAAACTGTCATCCAATAGTGTAGGAAAGGTCAGTGTGTGTGTGTATATGTGTGTGTGTGTGTGTGTGTGTGTGTGTGTGTGTGTGTGTGTGTGTTAAAGACAACATCGGCCCTTGGGTGCTGCAGTGTAGTCAGTATTTCTGGATTAATTACACACTGAAGGGAGAAGGAGGCTTGTGGGTTTTGAAAACCAGACGCTCGTCATAAACCTGCTGCCTCGTCCGCTTATGGTCGATCGTCGTCTTCACTTGCAACAAAAAAGCAAAAGGCGGGCGATAATGTTTTTATCTGTGTGTTTGAGTGTTTATGTGTCTGTTAGCAAAATGTCTCATGAAACCCCAGACTGATGGATGTACGTCCACGACGGATGAACTTCTAGAGTTAATTCAAGATGCCACATCAGCAGATGCAAAAATGGCGACAACTCATTAACGTTGATAAAATGTTCTCACGTATGTTTGTATTTTCTAAAGTGGCCATTTAATGGCTAAAATACCATCAAACTTTTATATTTATCTGTGCATCAAAATAAGAAAAGATGTGTTTTTATCTCTAGAGAACTGCAGTTCACGTAAAAATACTTTTATTCTTGCTTTCACCATGTTGCTTGTTACTAAAATACCTCAGCCCACAGATCGTCAGGACTTCTTTTAGTAGTGACGGTCATCAATTGGTTGAAAATCCAAAAATGAAATTAAGTGGACTTTTATTCTGTAGTCGAAGACGTTCCCATCCAGGGAACTTTTCCATCTTCAAACTGGATATGAAGCTTTAAACTGCATGAAATGCTTTGTTTATGAAGCCACATGAGTTATAATCGCACTCCCTCCCACCTGAGGGTCATTAGGTGTGTGTTTGGGAATCACTTGGTTGCAGTTTGCAGTTTTAGCCACTAGGAGGCATCACATTCTCTCTTAACCAGCCTGAAACGCTGCATCAAGTTCAGAACCAGGTGTAGTAGTTTAAAATGTACAATTTAAAATGCTAATTCATAAACATTTTTAGTGGTAAACATGGTAGATAAGTTACTGTTATCGCAGCAGTACAAAATATTCTTGTTCCGCCTAAAAAAATACGTTTTAATGGAGGATTTTTTTTAAGATCCCTGCTTTGGAGCTCTCGTTCACATAAAAACGTGAGTTTTAAGTTGGAGTCTCAAACAACTCGAAGCAGTTAATAATCGATTTAAAAGTCGTTTCGCCGGCGTGTGTGGGTGGTTCCAGGGGGACTGACCTCGTGGCGGAACATCTGATTACTTCTTAGAAATAAAACCGTCCCACTGTGGCGCTAAAGCAATTAGGAGTTTATAAGATAAAGACAGGATTGATGTTTCTCCACCGAGAGAAGAACAATGAGCCAATCACTGCCTTTGTATGTGTGTGCGTACGTGTGTGTGCGTGTGTGTGTTTTGCTTTAGCTGGAACTGAATGGTTGAAGTTTAAACGATCGTAAACAAATGTAAAATAAGCAAAACAGTAGCTTAAGACTAAAATTGAATTAAAAGTGCACAGAGTTTTTTAAGGTTTTTAAGAGTTGTGCAAGTTTAATATTTCAAAAAGTTACGTTACTAAATCCAAAAGTTGTCCTGAATGAGCTGAATGTTTTGATAAATTAAAGGTTAAAATAGCTGAAAGTATGCTGAAAGCGTTGCATTTAAACAAGTCAACTAAAATGTGAACGTTGACAGCTTTCTAGCTACTTCCACACACATTGTGTCATTTGAGCCGTTCATAAATCAAAACGTTCAGCTTGATCCGAAACTATGATTTTAGGTTTATATTTTAAAAGTACACATGAATTTCTTCAATTCCTAAAAAAAAAAAAAACATTTTTCTCTTTACAATGTATTTCAGGGTGCCGTGTTTCTTCTATCATCTTATGCTACCTTTAGCTTTAAGCTACCATCATGCTCCTTTTCGCTGCTAATTTTAGCTGCTGTTTAGCTCATTTTAGCTTTAGCACCAGCGTTTTAACTTAGCTAATTTGATTAGCTAATTTTATTATCTTTTTTTTTTTTTATATTAGCTTCAACACGTTTTGCTACCAATAGCTACAGTTAATAACCATTTGTTTTTATTTTAGCTATTATTTGTTACTTTAGCAACTGTTTAGGTAGTTTTAGATACCGTGTTCTTGATTTTTAGCTTGAGCATCTCTTCCACTATTTTTAGCTGTACGTAAATTAGCTAATTTTAACATTTATTTTGCTCGTTTTAATTACAGTCTAGTTAATTTTAGCTAGAGCAGATTTTTCTACTTTAAAACATTGTTTTGCTATTTTCATTATTTGTTTGTATTTTAGTTTAAGCATGTGATTTGTTCATTTTAAGCTGAAGTTTTGCTGTTTAGCTTTAGTGTCTGGCAAAGTTTCGTACTGTTCTGTTGCTTTAGCTTTTAGCTTCTGTTGTCCTCACTTTAGCCTTTACGGGCTCAGTTTTAGCTCCTTCATTAAAGGCATTCAGCACTCAGCCGTTAAAATGAATTTCTTTAGCTACTCTTCATGTCGTGTTTTTGTCTTTTGCAGCAGCAACAAAACCTGCTCAGAAGTTTCAGCCGAGTGAAACCCAAGTGCCAAATATTTCCCCGTTAGCTTTAAGCCGTTTGAATCCTGTCGGCTTGCTGAATAATTGATGCTTCAGATTTAAAAACATGACTCTGCCTGCAAGTGCCTCTGAGTGATCTTCTCATACGAGGTTCCTGCTCAACTTTGCCACTTGCTCTAATGAGCACTTAAGCCTCGGCAGAGCTGAGGAGAAGTCAGAGAGCTGAGATAATGAACTCCGCCCGGCAGATTTCACGCTGATGCCTTTAATGTGCTCTCAGCGTATTAGCCTTCAACCTTTCAGAGATCATTTGTTTACGTCGTGTCCAAACCAGCCGACACTTTAGCTTCTGTAGATGCGGTGCCGGATCGGAGGAACCGTTGTGTCAGGCTGTGTTTGCAAATATTCAGTTGTACTGAGGTGAAACGTACCTGCTGTAACTCAGATAAATTATTGAAACGTGTACTTTTAAAAGAGGCGATGAAAATAAAACGACACAAGAGTAACTTGGTCCGAGTTTTTATTTTTCTCTCTGCGTTTTCAGGATGTTTGTCTTAAATAATTAATCAGCTGAGTTTTATCCAGAACAGGAAGTATGTTGTTCACCTTCAGCCTTCAGTAATGTTTGTTGGGTTGCAGTACATGATACAACCGTAGTGGGTACTTACAAGGTACTTACAGGTACGTACCTGGTAACTACAGGGACAAATGTTCATTACTTGTTTTGTACTTACCTGATATTTACAGTGTACCTGGGTTGTAAAAGATACTTACCTGTAAATACCCTGCACATATCTGATAAGTATCTGTACACAAACAGTAAGCACCAAATACATACACGGTAAGTGCTTGAAGTACTAATACCAAGCATAGTTCAGAATTGTACCAGGTAAATTCCGGACACATGCTGGGTAAGTACAAGATACTTGAAAAGTACTGGGTAAATACTTGGTCCTTATTGTGTACCTACAGAGATTGAGTTGTAATGTGAAGTGATATCCAAGTGCATACTTGGTATTTAGAGAGTGCATGCCATGTCTGTACCTGGTGAGTACCTCGTAGTTACTAGTTAAGTACAAGGTATATACCTAGTCATTACTTGGTATGCACCGTTACTTGTAGTTACCAAGTAAGAACTGGGTACATATTTGGTATGTATCATGTAAGTATTTGGTAAGTGCCAGGCAGTATTTCTGTATGTATCACCGCCTTTATTTGTGTAAATATTTATTATCCTGAGCAACTGGAGTACTTCATTGTGGGATGAAGACGTTTCTCCTCAGTTTTGTTGTAGAAACAATAAATGTTCTGAGAATTGTCTCTTTCTTTGTTTTCTAATCGTTCTTTTAATAAACTTTAACAGGAAAGTGGCGGGGGTTTTTTATGGAAGTATTTATTCTGCAGATTTGCTGCTAATTTCTAAATGTTCTCTTTTCCTCCTTTTGTTTCATCATTTGTTGACTCGTCCTCCATCTTGCTGTAATCCTCTTCTCATCTGTTCTGCTTTCCTTCATTCCTCTTTTCCTTCTCGTTGTTTCACCCATCGTTTCCCCGCCCTTCCCCCCATCCTTGGCTGCAGAATCGTATGCACGAGTCTTTGATGCTGTTCGACTCCATCTGCAACAACAAGTTCTTCATCGACACCTCCATCATCCTCTTCCTCAACAAGAAGGACCTGTTTGCAGAGAAGATCAAGAAGTCTGCTCTCAGCATCTGCTTCCCAGAATACACAGGTACAGCTGTCGCCAAAATATCAAGGTTTAGCTTTTAAAAGATTTATTACAAAAATTAAAGCTCTGTGATTTTTGTGTCTTCACAACAGAGAAAAAACACTCGCAGGACATTTATATTTCCTGCTATTGCAGAAAGTTAGTCATAAAAGCTGCATTTTATACTCCAAAGAAACCCCACTCCCGATCTCCATGAGGCAGCTCCTCTTGCAACACGCCATTGTTTTACAGATATTGTTGTCTGTACTTTATATGTTCTGCTGGAACAGGTCTCTCTTGTAAATGAGTCCTCGTGGCTCAATGAGACTAACCTGTAATAAATAAAGGTTGAATGAAAAATTGTGTTACGCCGACAGAAACCTCTCGATTCATGTTCTGACAACACTGTGACAACCGCAGAGAGGGAGGGTCTTCTGTTAATGGAGGAGGAGGAGAACATCTTATTTCAGGAAGTTGCTTTGACGACCGTCGAGTTCTGCCATTTATCCTGCAGCACAGGAGAGATCCGCTGTCACTCCGAAAAAATCGAATCCCAGAAGCTAATGTTAGCTTCCACAAGCTAATTCTGCCAGTGTTGCCACTGCATGGCTCCAGAACAGCATGGCTGCCTTAACCACGCCCACCTCACATTCCTGGCCAGTCACACAACAGTTGAAGCTTAACCCCCACGAGAAATAAGTCTGCTCAGATCTCATGTTTAGAACCGTCTCGGAGCTCCCGAGAGAATAAAATGAGGTCATTTTGGTCTCTCGTCTGCATCAAAGAGGTCAGATCTCTTCACTTCTCATGAAGTATAATTCCAGTTTAAGATTGTTTTATGATGAGAAGAGATGGACTTGTTAAGATCAAACCTTGTACATACCATCATGCGTGAGCTTAGGTAGGATTGCAAGATCTTGCCAAACATTTTAGCACTCAGCTAAACAAATGTAATCACAGTTTCTATGAACCTGACAGAATTATAGCCATGCTTTTGTTTTCTAAGGTCGCTTAGCTTCTGACGCCATCTTGAATTGGACTGACTCCAAAATGAAATCTGTTGTAGACGTACATCCAGTGAGGGTTCAGTTCATGACACGTCAGGGTGTCGTTTGTCATATCTGATTCAGGTTTCCAAAGTTTTTCTGTAGAACGCTGCTGATCGTTGGCCAACAGAGACAAAATGCTGCTGATCGTTGGTCAACAGAGACAAAACGCTGCTGATCATTGGCCAACAGAGACAAAACGCTGCTGATCATTGGTCAACAGAGACAAAACGCTGCTGATCATTGGCCAACAGAGACAAAACGCTGCTGATCATTGGTCAACAGAGACGAAACGCTGCTGATCGTTGGTCAACAGAGACAACAGATAATGTAAACTATTTTCTGAATGGGCCGTAGTTCTGGGATGACTTAAGTCTTAAAACGCCGTACTCTTGTTTGAAGCTGCTCCGTTCACCACCAGTCTTGGTGGAGGAGTTATGTCCCCCAAAAGGAGGCGGGAACATCTCAGAAAGGCTAAATACACCTGATGTGTCGCTCCGCTCTGATTATTTCCTGTGTCGGGGTCAGTCTCAGCTACTACCAGACCAAATTTCAGGCGACTATCTGTAATCCTGAGTTTTCTTTGGCAGCCTTCTTCAAACAGGCCTCAGGGTTCGTGTGATGAGATAAACACAAGCAGTGAACAAGTCTGAACTGTCCTGAACATGAATCACAAGAAACTCTTTTAGAACCCCTCTGATTTTTGGGGATGGGAGGACACTGGTTAACAGCTGCTTGACTGATTGAATGAGTTCTGATTCTAGAGGAGGACCGGTCTGGACAGGTCCAGTTTTGAGTTATAAGCCATCGGAGGAATGTGGTCCTTTAAATGTTGGCGTTTGTTTACGACTGAGAGTTAAAGTTCTGCAGAACGTCTGAAACCTGCACGACAAGAGCTGAAGCAGCAGCTGAGAGACAGAATAAAGATGACAGACTTTGTGTCCTAAGTCTGACGTTGGACAAACGGAGGGACTGAGTCCCGGCTACTCAGTTCACCTCGATAAGCCTTTTCACACAATGAGCCAATCCTGCTCGTTCCTGACTCCCATGATTCACTCTGATTCTGTGAACTGTTCTGATCGTCACGCTGACCTGTTTCTATGTGGTGTCCTCCCTAGTTATCCACAAGCAAGAACATTTTAAACCCGGGTCGACTGAGAACAGGACTAAAGGAAATGGGGAATGTCTCATTCATTGGATTTTTATTTTTATGGTATAGTCTTTGTCTGTCTGTAAACTTTTTCTTGTCCCGCCCATAACTTCTGATTCACTCAAGATAATTTAACGGAGCTTCATTCGTGTTGCGTATACCTTTCATCACCTCAGCTCTAAGGTCAAGGTCACAAATCAAGGTCAAAGTTAAAACCAGGTCTTTGCTTGTCAGGACCATAACTTCTGATCTGCCTGATACAAAACCTGAAACGATCTATGGATTCTGTATAAAAGTGTGTCGTCTTAACTCTGACCATTCAGTGCCTTTTCTTTCTGTTATCTGAATATTTATTTTATGTTTATGGGTTCTGTTTGTTTGTTTGTTTCTGTAGGTCCCAACACCTACGATGACGCAGCAGCCTACATCCAAGCACAGTTCGAGAGCAAGAACCGCTCTCCAAATAAGGAAATCTACTGTCACATGACCTGCGCCACGGATACGGGGAACATCCAGGTCGTGTTTGATGCTGTGACCGATATCATCATCGCCAACAACCTCCGAGGGTGTGGCTTGTACTGAGCACGCCCACACACCCTGTAACTCCACCCCCTCCTCCCCCATCCCCTCTTTTCTCCCCCTCCTCCTCCCCCTCGTTCCTTTGGCACTGCTGTGGAAAAGATGATGGCCATGATGATGAAAAATGAAAAATCCAACTAGGTACATATTAATATTGAGAATAATTTAAAAATAGGCTTACGTACATTTAAATATGAATATATATATATATATATATAAAATGATTTTGATTTTTCTCCTCTTGCTCTGAGCCCATCCACCCCCCCTTGTTGTTTTTCAGTCTGTTGCCAAGCAAACAAATTTAGTTTTAGTAGGAAAACCCAAAACCCCACAGCCTTGACAACTTCTTGAACAAAGTCGATGAAAGCCCCCGCTCGTTCTCACGCCGTCAGCCGTGTCTTCTGCTCTTAACAAAACTGAAGCCTGTATTTAGTTATTTTCTGATTTTTTTGTTGTGTATTTTTATGATGATAAAACGTGTGCTGTTTAATTTTGGATTTTTATATTTATTACAAGTCTGTACACTGATTTTTCTCACGTTATGCCTCACCTGACACCTGTATTTGTGTATTATTATTTTTTTTTTTTTTGCTTTTAGTTGTGATTTTCTTTCTCAAAAAGATGTAAAAATAAGAATAGCACTAAAAAGCACCATAAACGTCAGAACCTTAAGAAGAAAATAATAATAATCATGCTAATTTTTTAGTCTTTGTTTACATATGAGAAGACATCTTAAGGTGTTTGTAATCTCTTTTTGTTATTATTTCTTGAATGATTTGTTTTATTTCTGTTTGAAACCTGGTTTTCATCGACAGGAAGTGAGGCTTTCTGTTTCCTGAACCTGGCCTTCCACCACGAGCTTTAGAGCCAACAGGAAGAGCGCTTGGTGTCGGAAACATCAGTGTTGCATAACGGAGGCACTGCGCTGTAGATAGCTACGCTTTTAGAAGCAGCATTAACGATCCATTTAATAAAACAAACTCCTGACTAGTTGATTAATTTATTTCTTAATTGACGCCTCTCATCATCATTTATTCCCTCGTTTACTTAATCTCATCTTCATCCTCCTCTTTTTCCTCTCAGCTTATTCCTGCATGGCGCCCAGGCGTCCAGATTTCAAGGTCAAAGGGCACCCTCCTTCCTCCTCCTCCTCCTCCTCCCTGTCACAGATAGCATGAGATACTCAAGACTCTGTATAAAACTGACCAGTTAATTAAAGAAACTTGTGATTTAAAGTTACACACCAGTACTGTTCAGAAAACAAAACCGTTCAATAAAAAGTGCAAATTATAATAAATTATTCAAAAAAAATAATAAACTGAGTAACAAGCAGCAGCTGAAAGAGAGAGGGGATTGGTTTCAGATTTTTTTTTTTTATTATAAAAGTGCAGATTTTGAGACTTCCTGCAGCAACACACACACACTGATTAAAGTTTCAAATTCTTCACTTATTTGACAATAAAAGTCAAACCAAGGGTCACTGGTTTAAAGCCAGTAAAAGATCATCTTTCTTGTGCTTTGTAGCTACAGAACTTTTCTTTCTCTGTGTAATCTCCTTTTCTTTTAAACAAATTAAACATAAAAAAAATTGTTCCCGTGTAACAGCGAGATGATCCCGGACGACCCCCCATGTTGTTGCAACACTCTGAACTCTGATCCCCGAATCTCTTCTCCTTTAACCGTTCTGCCTGTTTCCCTGCATTAGAACCATGTCCTCACTTTAGCCTGACTCAGAACGATTAAATATAATATTATAACAATATCTATTTTTTATTATTTAAAAAAAAACACTTCTGGGGAGAGCACGTTTCTCGCTGCGTCCGCTAGTTAGGGATGCCGCATGTTCACACATCGACGCTGTATAAAGTCATGCTCCTCCTCCTCCTCCTTCTTCTTCTGTCCTTTTTCAGTTTATTTCACTCCTTCCAGGTCGATAATGAAAAGCACAGTTCTCACAACACACACACACACACTCACAAACACACACAATAAGTAGATTTGGAAATTTGTTATTTATTCATACCTAATCTATGTTTCCTGTCATCTATATAAACCTCTTTCCTGCCTTGTTGAGTTCTAGTTTTTAAAAGAGAAACCGTAAAACGACACGATGGTCAGACTTTTGGCATTCTGTTCTGTTCTCACAGATTAATTTCAACTTCTGTTCTTTACCCAGTGAATGCTTTTTTTTTCTGTGCAGCTTTTTTCTCTCTTCCTCTCCCTCTTCTCTTCTTTAGTGAATGGTTGTTATTTCATGTGGGATGTCCGTGCTGGAAAAAAAAATCAATCGAATGTAGTGTTTACATTAAAAAGCCACTGTTTTCATGACTACAGAAAAAGAAACTCGTTTTTCTTCTTGTCTCTGAATCTGTCTGCATTTCCACATCTGACTTTCTGACTTTCAGCTGCAAATTAAAAAAAAAGTTATTTGTAATATCTACAGGCTTCAAATACAGTATTTTTCGGATTATAAGGCGCACTTAAAATCCTTTAATTTTGTCAAAAATCAACAGTGAGCCTTATAATCAGGTGCGCCTTATGTATTAATTCTGGTTGTGCTTGCTGACCTCAAACTAATTTTATGTGGTTTTTGTGAATGAGTTGAATAAAGTTTGACTTATCTGACTGTTTTGTTTCGCTTAATGCACCTTATAATCTGGTGCGGCTTATGTATGAAAACAGACCCGTTCATTGATATTGCGCCTTATAGTCCGAAAAATACGGTATGTGGGATTTAATTTTAAATACTGTGCAGGTCTGGATAAGTATGGGGACAACAAGTATGAAAAATTTGTTTTTGCTTTATAAAAATTTTAAATTTTCTTTCCTAAAACCAAAAACCCAACGCTGAATATGCACAACAACTTCAGACAAAATTGACACGGAGTGTAAAATGTAATTAAAAGCAGAATCCAATGATTTGTAAATCTTAGACTCATATTTCATTAACAATAGAACAAAGAAAACATTTATGTTTAAATTAAGAAATTGCACCTTTACTGGGTGGGTCTCTGTTAATTTTATGGCAGCAACACATCTGAAAAAAGTTGTTCCGAGTGCAGCAAGAGGCTAAATAGTTTGGACCTTCTGGAGGAGCATTTTACAACTAATTAGGTTAACTGTCAACATCAGGAAGAGGACTGAGTCTAAAAAGAGGCACCAAACTCTAAACTATCGCTGGGTGTGAGAGAGAGTGAATGGATGAAGTAAAGATGGGCAGAGGTTCAGTGGTCTGAGTAAAACTGTCTAAAACTAGTGCAACAATTTCAGAATAAAGTTCCTGAATGAAAGACGTTAATCTCCAGTTCATAATCTCGTGAACAGATTAGAAGAATCTGTAGAAATCTGTGAGCTCAAAGCTCGAGATTGAAGGTCAATACTTGATAGTCGTGACCTTCGACCTGTCCAGGTGTCCCCTGCCTCTTGCACGGTGAGTCCAGTCCAGCTGAAGGCGGGGGCCTTGGCGCTCTGACCTGGATTTTTGAAACTATGAAAATTTTAAGTAGTTTTTTTCCAGAGTTTAACAACTTTAGATTAGATTTTATTTGGTGGAAAAGGGGGATGGACAACACTGTATCGCAGTTGGTAGAGCTGCCGCCTCTCAGCAAGAAGGTCGCCGGATCGAATCCTGGCCGGGGGCCTTTCTGGGTGCATGTTGTCTGTGCAGCGGTTTCCGCCCACAGACCAAGAACAATTGGTAACTTTAAACTGTGAACGGTTGTTTGTCTCTGTGTCCCTGTGATGGACTGTAAACCTGTCCAGGGTGTCCCCCACCTCTTGGACAGTGACTGCTGGACATGGCCACCAGTGACCCCCCGCGACCCGGAAATGAAGAAGCGGGTAAAGATACAGGATGGGAAAGAGGATCAAGAATGTCCCATCTGGATGTAAAGTGTTCAGAGCTCTGACGTCATCCGAACTTCCCGTCTTTGCTGGTGTCAGACACTAAAAGTGTTTTCACCTGAAACATAAAGACACCTGTGTGGACGTCTCAGCGGGACATGAAACAGCTTCTGTAATTGGAAATGAAATGTTTGGGTGTGACGAGTGAAAAGATTAGAGCTGCAGGATTATTGTCAGCAGCACACGGTGTCGCCTCATGAGACGGGCCTGATGAGCTCTAATCTCATTTTAATAACTCGCTCTTCACAGCTGGCAGCAAAAAAAACATCTGCTGCAGAGATTTATTGTTTCAAGAAGCAGCAGATAAACAGTTTAAAATGTCTCCGGCTGACTCGACCCACTCACCTGAGACCACAGCTTACCTGTCGGGTGTTTTGCCTCCACTGCTGCGAGGGCGTCGACCAGGTGCTTCTTAAATATGTTCTTCACTAGAGAAGCAACAAAACCAAAAGATGAGCTGAGTTTTCACAGTGTGGTGGTTTTTGTGGGTTTTTTTCTTCCTCTGGCAACAAACTGATTTGTTTGTTGGTTTGAGTGCAGCAGTGGGGCTGTGGATGGGTGTGATGCAATCTATTCCCACCTTTTCGACCAGTCATACATTTTCATTTTATTTCTTTTTGACACCTAATTAAATAAAAGAAAGAAAAAAGGTTTTAGGTTTTTTTTGTTTTTGTTTTTTCTTCAGCTGCTCGCTCCTGCAGCCGTCTCGCATAAAAAATAAAAAATAAACATAAAAGATTTGGCAGTTGTTTTACACCGAATGCCCATCCTGATTAACCTGGACTCAAACCTGCAACCTTGGGATTACAATACTGCAGCACTGGCCATCAAGCTACCACAGCCAAACAGTAAAATAACCTGATTGTTGTCAGTGAACATTCATTAACTCTTTGCAGAATTGCATATGGTTTGTCTTTGAGGTGGCACGGTGGTTCAGTTGGTAGAGCTGCCGCCTCAGCAAGAAGCTCTCCAGATCAAATCGTTGGTTTTTTTTTCCAGGTACTCCAGTTTCCTCCCACAGACATGAAAAAACATACGTTAGTCTGATTGGTAACTCTAAATTGTCCCTGGATGTGAGTGAGAAAGTGAATGTTTGTTTGTCTTTATGTGTCCCTGTGATGGACTGAAGACCTGTCCAGGGTGTCCCCCGCCTCTCACACAGTGACTGCTGGATATGGACACCACTGACCCGAAAAGGATGAAGGAGGTAAGATGATGGATGGTTTGTTTTTGAAGCTTTGTAGAGCCTGTTCTGTGGGTCCGAGGACTGAAGAGTTTAACCTCAGTTAAACTGAGTTCAACAGTTTAACCAGTAGTTCCAAAAGTTTGTTTCTGGATCAGAAAATTTGTTTTAATTGGTTAGAAACAGGGCTTTAATTTGAGCCGGATCCTGCCAGAAGAGGATCCGGGGACTCTCTTATTTTGACAGGGTGTGTTCCGGTAACTTTGCTTTGATCCGGTAACTCTCAGTCTTACTAATAATAAAGTTATGAACAAATAGGACTGCCTTGAATGAATTAAACTTATATTTGATATGTAAACTGAAAATAATTACATAAACACTCATTTTAAACA